TCTATTTCTTTTCTTTTCTTTTCTTTTCTTATTCTTTCTTTTCTTATTCTTTGCTGATCGGACTCGGTTGATGTATGGATTCAGAACCTTGGCCATGTGAGTGAGTACAGTCCTCATCTACATGCACTCTTGCGGACCGTACAAATTCTTCTTTCTTCTTAGGCCACTCAATTAAGGTGACGTGCATGTAGGAATTCTTCTTGGTACAACCCTCATCCACATACACTCTTACAGGTTGTACAATTCTTCTTCTTCTTATGCCACCCAATTAAGGTGACGTGTATGTGGGAATTTCTTCTTAACACTCACGGTTCCCCATCACACCAACCTATTCTTTACTTTTCATTAACACTCTTTAATTCTTTAATGCTTATTCTTCCTTTCTTTTTATTCTTAGAGTGTTTTATTCTTTCTTTCTTTATTCTTTATTCTTTATTCTTTATTCTTTATTCTTTCTTATGTTTCTACACATACACAATTATATGCATATGGATGGCACATGCTTAAAATTTCTTACTTAAATGCACTTATGAAATGCACAAATGCAATGGTACATCAAAGACAGTCATTCTGTGCAGGTCATACTAAAAAGGGTATAACTTGCGTTATACACATCGGATTGCAACGGTTTTAGTCTCATTTTAAAGCTTAAAAACAGGGCTACAACTTTTATGTTTTGGTCTCAGCCCAGTTCAATCCGTAAGATACCCAAAATTCACTTAGAAAGTCACGGATGTGACAGGGCAGATTTCACTTAGGCATTTCCTCAAATTACTCATGTGCATACCAAGGCTCTAACTCTTCTCTTTAATCATCCAAAATGAGAGGAAAACTCCCTCATACACTCTAATTTCCTGTCAAGGCAAAACACTCCCATAGGGTTTGCTCATAACTCCCTCCAACTTTAATCAAACTCAACTCATCATCATACAATCACAACACTTCTCATAACCCAATTAAATTCATATCAACATAGATACATACTCATAACATCTCAATTTCTCAGCATAATACATACATATACATACACAATTTCTACTCAAATAAATTCTTAAATCTCAATTTAGTTTGGATTTACTTACCTTTTGCTTGAGTAGTCTCTCCTAAGCTCTCTACTCTTGTTGGATTCAAATTTTCTCTTAACCCTAAGCATAAACTTCATAAGAACTCAACTTTTACACAAATAAAACATGAATAAAGAGCTTGAATCCTTACCTTTTGATGCCTTGAATCAAAACCCTATGAAAATCTACTCAAAAGCCCTCAAATTCCTTGGAAAAGTGAATGAAAATTTGAGAGAAAAAGGAGGAGTGTGGGGGTGGTATGAACGAAAATGAGGGTTTCAAACCCTTAACATTTTAGCTTATAAACTCACTTTCCCATTTTGCCCTTACTCTTTCCTAGAAATTTCATCTTTGTCCCTTAATCAATTACCAAAATGCCTTCACTTTTATTGAATTCTTTATGATTTTCTATCTCTTTTCACTCCCCACAAAATCAACTAGTTTTAGTGAAAAGACTATTTTACCCTTAATGCAAGTTTAAGCCATTTTCTTCATATTCTCTTAAAATAATTCTAACAAAATTTAACTAAGGGCTATACAACATAATTTAAATCATGTACCTTAATGTTGGGTGTTACATCATTAATGATTTTTTTACAGACGCGGGCAATATTCATACTCTTTGTCATGATAAAACACACCGCATTTGACACAAGTTTGATATTTTGCAGATACAACCCAACGTTACTAATAGTTCTATTCGTTATTTAAAAAAAAAAAAAAACCCAAATATTCCTCAAACACTTCCTAGCCTTTATACTTCATACCTATTCGGTATTATTGATAAGTCTATAAATCAATTAGAGAAAGAGAAACCTTGCTAAAAAATGTGAACTTTTAAGCAAGAGACTTGCAGAGCCAAAGAAAAAAACTGATTTTGATTCTTGAGAAGAGAAAATGAATTATTTTTATTATTATTATTTTAGAAATAAAAAAAAATTAAGAATGTTGATAAGAGAACTCACATAGAAAACAATAACAACCCCAACAGTATAATCTGAACGCAACTTAATTGAAGCATTGAAAAACCCATGAAGATAAAGGTCATATAACACAAATCTATTTGCTGCAATTAGAATTGACCACCACATAGAGCAAAAAAAGCATTTGATGACATCATCCTAAAGAAAGATGATAATTGTAAACCCCACAAATCAAACAACAAAATCAATCCAAAAATCAACAAAAAGAGATAGAACAAATACAATTAAAACTACATATCAATATTTGTTGTCCTTTGTCATCACTAAAATTGAATTTGTTTTATGTCTGTGATAATAAAATGAATGGTTTGGAAGCAGGTCTATAGTTATCCAAATTCATCATATAATATATCAAATTAAATCTATATCTGTCTAGTTTCTATAGATTCAAACCTCTCATCAATTGGAGTTTTGTTGAGCACGTTATGGTCAATTTATTACTGACTGTTCAATAAAAACCAAAACGTGTGTGATGATAAAAGGAATAGTTTGGAAGTGGGACTATAGTTATCCAAATTAAGTATATATCAAATTAAAACCTTGTCTGTCTAATTTCTAAATATTCAAATCTCTCATAAATTGGAGTTTTATTGAATAAGTTATAGTCAATTTACTACTGACTATTCAGTGAAAACCGAAATGTGTATGATGATTAAAGGAATGGTTGGGTAGTGGGGCTAAAGTTATTCAAATTAAACATATATTAAAATCAAGCCCTGTATATCTAGTTTTCAAATATTCAAACCACTCATCAATTGGATTTTTATTGAGCAAGTTATGGCTAATTTTCTATTGGCTGTTCAATGGAAATCGAGAAATAGGGGAAACCGAAATGTGTATAATGATAAAAGAAATTGTTTGTAAGTAAGACTACAGTTATCCAAATTAAGCGTATTATTTATCAAATTAAAGCCCTTTCTATCTAGTTTCTAAAAATTCAATTCTCTCATCAATTGGATTTTTATTGAACAAGTTATGGTCAATTTACAACTGATTGTTTAGTAGAAATTGAAATGTATATAATGATAAAATGAATAGTTTACTTAACCCAAATTTAAGAGATTATCATATTAGGACTGATAAGAAATATTTCAAATAACACCTATTAATTGGAAAATGGAATCAGCCAAAATTAATTCATTTAACATATATACTTACACATCAACAGGACATAAACAATTAATCATTCATATAACAAATTAAAATACACAAATGTTTTTCAAAGAAAACATATTCAACACAAATGATTTGCTTCTACTGATATAGATATGACACATACTCGCAATTTTACTGACAATAAGATTATCCTCGATTTGATCTTAGTAAAGTACATGAACATTTCCTTAAAACGAATATTACAAAATTTAATCGATCTTCATGTTAAAATTGTTAAGGAACAATTATTCATTTGTATAACAACTGTAACCTGAAAACGAAATCAACAAAAGTTAATTAATCTTCATATTAAAATTATTAAGGAATACACTTACCGTTCGACGGGACTAACACAATTAATCATTCAAATAGATTGACCGAACAAAAAAATCATTCAATCAAATAATAACCATTAAAATAGTTAGGAAATATACTTACAGTTTCATATTAAAATAGTTAGAAGATGTACTTACAGTTCAGAAGAACGAATCAAAATAACAACTTATTTGACAATGTCAATCGGATATCCTGCCTTTATTCCATGCCAATTCATAAATCTTTGACATGTAAATAACAACAAATACATAAATAAATAAAAAATCATCGATTAACAAAACCATGAAGAACAAACGTATTATTGACACAACCTAACATGACCTATAAACAATTAACAAAAAACCAGATGTATTGTTGACACCAACTAATATATTGCGATAATACACAACTAAACATACGCCCCTTTTATAACCCCTTATTTAGACCTTTCGTATGCCAACACAATTAAATAAGAATTGAATACGAAGAAACGTTTGTAATGTCTATACAGTGCACATATATAATTATTAATAGCAATCCTAGTCAAATGTCATTAAATCACAATTATTAATAGCAATCTAATGCACCTATATACTTGTTATTAATACACATCCAACGCATCAAAATGGTTATAACTTTGGAATGTCAATGCAATGCACTTATATTATTATTGTTATTATTGATTATTAATACATATCCAATAATTTTTATTAATCATTAATTGTAGATAGAACAATAAATACAATAGCAATCCAATGCACCCGTATACTTATTATTAACGCACATCTAATGCATCAAAATGGTTACAACTTTGAAATGTCAATACAATACACCTATATTATTATTATTAATTATTAATACAGATCCAATATTTTTTATTAATTATTAATTGTAGATGGAGCAATAAATATAAACCCAACGTGTTAAGATGAAGCAATAAATCCTACTTGTCAATCCAATGTATCAAGATGAAACAATTCTACGGTTCCAAAATGTGTTACGTGTCAAACAACAAGAGAGTATTCAGTATATATATATATATATATATATGAAACAATTTTACGGTTCCAAAATGTGTTACGTGTCAAACAACAAGAGAGTATTCAGTATGTATATATATAATGAGGGTGATAACATCACTTATATATATATATATGAAACAATTTTACGGTTCCAAAATGTGTTACGTGTCAAACAACAAGAGAGTATTCAATATGTATATATATATATATATAATGAGGGTGATAACATCACTTGTAACTGAATTCTTTTAAAAAAAAAATTAGAAAATAATACAGCTATCGAAAGATGCACACCAAATTTATATATCGAATGATATAACAAAATCCTGACCGTCGATTAATTATAAATTAATATTAATCGATTATCAGGATTATGTTACGTCATTACAAATTCTGTACGTATCTTTTAAGTTTCGGTAGCATTACCCAACAAAATTACATACACTAGACTAACCCTTCCCACCCATCCCTGCAAAAGAAGCCCCCTTTCCCTCAGTCCTTGTTGGAGCAGAAACGATTCACTCATAGCGGCTTCTCCGCCCAACACCTTCCTTCAGTTCCTCTTCGCCGCCGTTAGCCACCACCACCCTAGCCAATCTCCTCCTTGTCCTTATCTCTCAAACCCATCGCACCTATCTCGCCACATAGAAGCTTTATCTCAAGCCCATTGCACCTCCACACCACACAGAAGCCTCATCTCATAAACCCCATCGCACCCCCTCACCACACACACCCTGCCAAATAACCAGTTTTCAATTTGAAGGGTCAGGTAAGGCTTCTGTTCATTCTTCTTGGTGATGACGACAATATCATTCAATTTTTATTTTTATTTCCAAGAGTGGATTGAAATTATTAACCTGGGTTCCGAAAGAAATATTGAATTTTTTTCAATCGTATAATTTCCATTTAATTGATTGCTTCATCAACTGCTGCAAATCAAATATCAAACAACGGAATCTAGGGAGCGCTCAAAAAAAAATGATGAAAGTGAAATTTTTTATTCTGCATTACTGAGTGAAAAACAAGCCAGCCTCTTGGTAGAGGCACAATTACTTGGAATGGATGATAATGGAGAGAAGACAAGGTACAAAGAATTTTAAAGATCGGAGAGAGGTATGGGTGAAGTTGAGTATTCTTCAGTTCTAAATGTTGCAGTGGAAATGCAGAAACTATGAACCAACTATCTAAATTTATCTATGTACTAGTTTAAATATGTGAACTAGGAATCGTGGGTTTTGTTTGAGAAACAAAGTAGATGAGATTTGGAAATAAATTATTGGTTAGGTTGTGGCTTTATTACTGTATTGAATGTGGTTAATTAATTTTATGTTTATCTTCAAAATTATTGAAAATTGTGAGGGTGTAAGAAATCTGGAAACAAATACTGTTACTTTTTTTTTTTTTTTTTTTAAATTAAACCATGACTTGAGTAATGGTAGAATTTGTTGCATTCTCAATTTTATAATATTGTTGTAGTGGAAAACAATTTGGGCTTTTTCTAATTGCTCTTTGTATCAATCTTAGACTAATTGGCGAGTTTTAACTGATCAATTGGAACTTTATTTTAAACGTTCTCAGAAGTTTAGTTTTCTCATCAAAACATTAATTTTCTTTCTTGCTCTTTGTGTCAGACTTGGACTTTTGCATAAGTGTTGGGCAACTGTTTTCTGCTCTGAAGCAGCAATTGCAATGCGGGGAGTTTCTACACTGTCTTACCTTGTTGGTCAATTAACTCGGTTTGGCACTAGGGTCCAAACCCAAAGTTCTAGTTGGTATGCAATGAAACAAATTCAAATATCTAACCAAAACATTGCAAAAGGTATGTCATCATTTGAGGGTCAACCCAAGAATGAAATACTGGAAAGGTATCCAGAACAAAAAGCTGAAAGTTTAAGGAAACATCAAATTGGGGAGAATATTTCAAGAAAGGATAAGATCAATTTTCTTGTAAGCACACTTCTTGACCTCAAGGATAGTAAAGAAGCTGTTTACAGTTGTCTTGATGCTTGGGTTGCATGGGAACAAAACTTTCCTATTGCATCACTTAAGCAGGCTTTGTTTGCTCTTGAGAAGGAACAACAGTGGCATAGAGTTGTTCAGGTTATTAAATGGATGCTAAGCAAGGGCCAGGGATCTACAATGGGAACATATGTGCAACTGGTGCGAGCTTTAGATAAGGAACATAGAGCAGAAGAAGCACACAAGTTTTGGATGAAAAAAATTGGTACTGATCTGCATTCCGTGCCTTGGCAGTTATGCAACAGCATGATCTGTATATATTACCGAAACAATATGCCAGAAAGGCTCATAAAGCTTTTCAAAGGCCTTGAAGCGTTTGATCGTAAGCCTCCAGAGAAATCAATTGTGCAAAAGGTGGCAGATGCATATGAGATATTAGGCTTACCAGAAGAGAAAGAGAGGGTACTAGAGAAGTACAACGATCTGTTTACCAAGACAGAGAAAGAAGGCCGAAAATCTAAGGCAGCATCTAGGAAAAACATGAAATCAAAGCATCGGAAAGACACAAGAATTTCTGATGGTGTTACAGAAGCTTTAGATGACATACAATAAGGTCAAGTATTACTGTGAACTCGTTTTCTCTGTTATTAGAATCTTGGGATAGTCTTTCTTCATTGTATGAATCCTGGGTCAAATGTCATTGCATCCAAATCTTTCAGGTCACATGTTATTTAATCTCAAATTATGTAATGGTTTGATAGACCGAAAATACAAATCAACACAAGAGAAAAGGATGTTTTTGATTGCCATTTACCCGGATAATGCTAAATCTGCCCCAGAATTGATCTTCCTTGAGAGTGTAATGTCTGCAATTTACAGTTTTGTCAACTCTTTACAGGTTACATAACGCACTTGTTCTGACTTTCTGATGCTTCTAATGTTTTTGATTGGGTTTGTTTTAATATTTAAAGAATGAAGCTCAATGTTTCTAATGCTTGTTCCGAAGTATAGATAGAGTGAGATTAAAAGATTCTTGACCATTTTAGAATTAGAGCCAATTTCCTGTATACAAAAGCTTTATTACATTCATTAAATATCATGCTAATAGTATGGAATGATCTTTCATTACTTTTCATATTATTACAAAAATTTGCAGCTCATTGGTAATTCTTACTTTTATTTTTAAACACAAATTAGTTTTCAAGGATCCATCTTTGCAATTTAAATGCTATCTGATATTGTTTTTAATATGTTTTATGGCTAGTAATGTAAAACAGTTAACCTGGAAAATTTAATCAATTGGAGATTGTACAAGAATTGGAACTCAATACTCAATAGTATTACTTAATTTCTTTTACCTTAAAAAAATTTAGGAGATCAATATAACTGTAAAAATCCTTCCAAAAATTATTAAAATCCATTGTTCAAGGCCTAAGGGGAATGCAATACTTTTTGACAACAACGAATATTGATTAAAAAAATTAAACAAGACGCATATGTTAGTATCCCATTTGAATAAATGCTGGAATATCATGGAGACACATTCATCCACTCTTAAGCAATTTCTGTTTTGCCAATAGACAATTCATCAACTGAAGAACCATTGAAATTTCAAAAAAAATTACAGTCACACGATAGATTTTACATTTATAAAATATACTTGGTTGGGCTGATATTAAACAAGATTCTTTATCTTTCTTTACAGAAGAAAAGGTGTAAATTTACGATACAGTATAACTCTAGCATCCACATTTTCTGAAAACTTTGTGTTATTCTTCCTTTCTTTCTACTTCCAGTGCTATCTCATTACGACGTTGAAATGGAAGCGTAAATGGTGGATTATACTGCATCCACATATACGAAAGTTAGTGCTGAAAAGGTATTGTATGACAGAATGCTCAAAATCAAGTTTATTCAGAATTTCTTGTCACTAAAAAGTCAGTTAAAGAGATTACCTGAGCAACTTCAACTGAAGCACCCTCTTTTACTTGATACTTTATGTCATCTTTCAAAGCATTTCGCAATTTTGATCCCCGTCGTTGAACTTCTTCATCAGTAACAAAACCTGATTCAAGTAATCAACAAAGAACATCATTAATCATGTAATGTCTGCTATAGAGAGGACTGATGAGAAATTAGAGTACAATGCACTTTATGTTTAGTTTCTTCCTCAATGAAAAAGAGGAAAGAGATCATTGCAGCACCACAAAAACAGAGAACCTGACATTCTAGCAACCAGTGACCTGGAACTGGATCCTAATATGAAGCTACCCGGGCTGCTGATGGGGACAAGCAAAATGGCAGTTGGTAAGATGGATTTGAAGGAGTTAGAACCAATGGCGTCATTCAAGTTTTATGCAGATTTTTCCTTAGCCGAGTCATCTTATTTCCAGAGCGCTCTTCTCTCTGTATAAATGGGAGCTCAATACCAAAGAAGTTTTTCAATCTTTCTAAGATGTTTTTTATGAATAGTGATTTTAATTTTTCTTCCTCAAGAGTTATTTTATTTTGATTAGCTTGTACTCAATACCAAAAAAGTTTTTCAATCTTTCTAAATTAGTATAAGAGCAATTATTGCTGCTGAAATAAAAATGACTAACCCAGTATTCTTAATCAACCCAACTACTGCACAGGTCTCCTCAAAAACTTCAGCTCAAAACAATTTAGCATTGTTATCACTCCTATCAAACTTGACAGATTAAATTATTTGATCTGGAAATCACAAGTTATTACTTCAATCAAAGCAAATCATTTGGAAGGAACCATTGATGTGACTAAAAAGGCACCCAATCCAACTATTGTTAGCAGAGAGAGCACTCAAGTTGCAACAGCTGCTGTCGATAAAAAATTTCTCAGACTGGAAGAGGCAGGACCAAACACTTTTAGGGTGGTTACTGTCAACCATGTTCGAAGGCATCTTGAGGTATTTTAATAACCTCAAATGAGGTTTGGACTGCACTCAAGAAATTATTTTCAGCCCATTCTAACACCCAAATACTGCAGCTCAAAATGCAACTTCGGGACAGAATACTAATAAGGGGAAAATATTAGTATCTTTTCCACAGGCAAACTTATGAACAACAAACCTGAGAAGGCAACCACGGCAACAACTTTCTTCGGCACCTCTCTTATCCTTATAGATGGATCTTTTGGTAATGGCAAGTTGGAACCATACTTTGAAGGCATGACAAAAGACATCTGCCACTTATCTTCATCTGTCAGCTGCATAAATATTTAATAGAAAATTAGAAATAGAAAAAAGAAAAAAAAAATCTTGGTAGAAGATAAATCCATAAATACAGTAATTTAACCCCCAAAAATTATTTGATATAAAAAGATTTGTGTATGAAATATAAGCAAAATGTGGACAAACAAATTTCCAAACCAACGTTCAGATTAAAGCAACACTAGTTGAGATTACCTGGAAGTAAAATTAAACTAAAAGTAAAAACATCTTCAAAAGGTCCAAAAATTAGTATATTTGACAAAAATAATTATTTTCTTCACAATGTCATCAAATAGAAATCAGAAAGATAACACAAAATTACACCACAAGTATATTTCAAAAGTCAAGAGTTGATGATAAAGAAAATCCATAGAAAATTTGAAAATGATAAAAGAATAAAAAAGGTTCTACGTAGAACATTGATGAACAAATCTAATTATTTAATCCCCAAACACTCCTTGATATCAAAAGATTTGTCTATGAAAAATAAGCCAAATGTGGAAAAACAAACTATATTTAATAGAAAATATAATTTAAACACCAAACATTCTCTGAAATAAAAAAGATATAGATTTGTATATGTAAGAAATAAGTAAAGAGTAGAAAAAAAAAAATAGCAAACTAATGTTTGAATCACAACAGTCCTAGTTGAGATCAGCTGGAAGTAAATCAAACTAAAAAATCCTATTACACCCTCAAACAGGAATCAGAAGACAAGACAAAATAACACTCCCAGTATACTTCAAAAGTCAAAAGTTTATGATATAGAAAAGAATGAATTATTAACATAAAATCAATGTAGAGAACTAACCCTCTTTGTTATCACAGGTGTTGTCATTTCCATTTTCTCACCATCTGACTGAGTCTCACGCGTAATAACAGGTGTAGTCATCTCCATTTTCTCACTTATTGTATTCTAAAAATGGCGCAGAAAGAGGCAATATTCACCATAACAAACTCAAACAGAAACAAAGAGGTATAGTTCATAAGTAAAACCACCAGAACTACCTTACCAAACAGGTACTCAGCCAACACATTGAACGATTGAGATGCACCATTGAAATCAAATCCAGTTTTCCCAGGCATCATCGTTTCAGCTATAAAGTACGACTATTTACACAATCACAGCCAATCAATTTAGACTTATATGAACATAAAAGCAATGAAAACATAATGCGACAAGAACAATTAACAAGTAGGCATTGAGGTGATAAACATACATAAAATACTTGAAAGGTGGAAAAATAAGGAGATTGACTGAAAAATCAACTACGAATATATATATATATATATATACCTCAACTTCTCTTATCTCGTACTGGTCTGTTCTACTCAAAACCTTAAACTTCACCGTCTCAAGATCCGGAACTACATAAAACCCAATAACATAAAACAAAATTTATATACAAGACACACTGAAAATTTCAGCTCCACATAAATTTTTAAACCAGTCATAAATTTTGTGATAAAATAAGGACTTTGTTATACATCCCAGTATAGACAAATAACCAACTTATATGATTCTTATAATTTGGCATATTTTGACATGATCAAATTAGAACAATCTTTAAGTACCAAATAACTTAAATAACCATCCCTCCTACCGCGAGCCTCGTTAATTGGCGCCAATTAACAGTATAGTTAATGCTAAAGGAAAATTCAGTCAAATTACAACATGAAGATTGAACAATTTTGTCATACAATATGAGGAGTCTAGAATTTAAAAAAAAAAAAAAAAATCGACTTAAAAGAGGTTTGAGGTATATAAAGTTGTACCTGCCATCAAGGCTTCCTCCAAATTCCGGCTCTCAAATCTTTTGGGGAAAACATATCTCGCAGTCTCAGTAGCCAAGTCCACAAGAACTGCTAACAAATTAATCAATACATAAGAATAAAGAAAGTAACAAATTAAGAGTTAAAGAGAAAGACAAAAATAAAACAAAAGAGAGAAAGATAACATGTACGTCGCTGAGAAAGAGAGGAAGTTTGGGAAGCGAGAGCCAAGACAAGAGAGAGTCGAGCTTCAAAACCAGACATGGGTTTTCTTTCACTACCACTGGAGATGGCATTGGTGATTGTTAAGGAAGATTTCTTAAGGGGTTTAGTTAAGGTTTTGGGTAGGGAGTTGTGCGTGATGAGTGAAGGTTTCGAGAGAAGCATCTTTTTGAATTCAGCTTCAGTTTCTTTCTGGGTTTGAATTTCTGTTGGGGATTTTAATTTTATTCATATTATTGATGGAAACTATGGTTTAGAGTTTTCCCCGGAAATAAATAATTTCCAATATTTTAAAGAGAAATTATCGTTTCAAATAGTTTTACAAATTAAACAAAAGAGATAAGAGACACAAATTTTATTCCTGGCCAGTAGTACCGGTGGCACTATTTTGGATAGGGAATCGAAATCACTTTATGAAAAATTTCTCAAGAAATATCGCAATCATATTTTATACAAATTTGAAGGACGAACATAAACATTCACTCATCTTCATCAAACTCATCACTAATCATTCCTTCCATTGAAAACTTTGAAAACCTAGCCTATAAACTCATTTTGGTCTCGGATTTCAATTGATTTTGGATTTTAGATTTAAGGTTTTTGATGGAGTTATTGGTTTTGAATGTGAGATTGGGTTAATTGTTGTTTGATGGTGTGAATTTGAGTGATTTTAACGTTTTCTACTGTGGAAAATAATAATAGGGACTTGTGTTTTTTGACCGACAAGGGGTTTCAGACGATCCGAATGACCTTGTTGGACAAAAGTTGCAAATCATTTGGAGAAGAAAGAGCAGGTTTTGTCAAAACCCTAGGATTGGCCGATTGAAATGATTCGATCACTTTAATAGTGAAGGGTGAAGTTGGTTGAATTCGACCAAATGTTGGCCAAAACCAGTTTTCAACGTCCAACCAATTTTTAATCCAAATCTTCCAATATTGATCGATACTCTTACTTAGATTTGTATAATTCACCCATTTTCAACATCTCAACATCAATATAAGCTTAAACAAAAATAGCTTATTAAATATGTTTTCTATGCAACATACTTAATGATTTCTTATTTGGAACAATTTTCAAATTGGAAAACTTATTGAATTATCTCTTCTAAACCCTTTAAATAACCCAATATACTGCCCAAATCCAACAGTAGCTCTTTGATATCACAAAAACAAGTTTTCACTCAGGATTTTAGAGTTCAAGCATGAGTTTTTCCTCCTAAGTTCAGATATTTGTCAATGTGGGCAATTTCGTCCCAAGAGTTTGTGAAAAATTAGATTTTACAATTTCTTGAGACACTTTCCAAAAAGTGTTAGTTTTCAATTCAAGGCTATTTAATATAATTTCTCAAACCATCAATATTTTTAAACCCCTCAAAATTTATCTTTTATTTCTAAGGATATTTTCATTCTAACGGATAAAATTTTATAAACACATAAAAGTTTCATTTATATAAACAAATAAGACACTTAATAGTGGAAAATAATTATTAAAATTATAAATTTGTTTAAGGATATTTTTTTCTTTCATTTGGTAGTTTAATTATATATTTGTACGCGGAAAAAATTTAATAGAAAAAAAAATTAAAAAAAATTTATATAGAGCAATAAAATAATCTAAAAATTTGAAATAAAAAATAAAAACAGAAACAAAAATCTGAAAATTTTTAAGAACATCAAGAAAATTGAAAATAAGAAAAAAGACAATATATATATATATTTATTTATTTATTTATAAAGTTTTAAAAAAAAATAATAACGTATAAAAATTGAAAAAACTAACTATAAATTAGATAAACAAAAGCTAGCTATGCCAAGGCAACCACCAAGGCCAATGCCTATTTAATATTTTATATAATTTATAATGGGTTGGGATCCTATGACTTAAAACTTTTACCTTGTTTTTATTTTTATTTTTTAGGCTTCTTACGAAAGAGTTAACGTCTTTTTACCATCCAAATAATGGATTAATGACACTTTCTCACTCATAGATTTTTTAAAATATCACTTTACTATCCAAATTTATATTCCCACGACGAATAAAGAGCAAACTCGTTCCAGGTTATTGAGGCTTTTAAAGAGGTGAGGTCAATGAGTCTTTTAGTGGTTAGAATTGATCGAAATTTGACTTGGAAGGGGTGACTACGCAAACCTTAATTATTCGATTACTAATGATTGGCGAGATTGTCAAGAGTGAGTTTGAAGGGTTTTGATAAGTGATAATCAAAGAAGATAATGATGGTAGTATAATATCGCAATGATGCCAGAATCAGAAACAAAATATAAATTTAGGTAATAAAATGATACTTTAAAAGTCCTTGAGTAGAAATGTGCCATTAAACAATTATTTGGGTGGGAAAAAATTGTTTACTCTTCTTATAAATTGTTCATTTGTGTAGACCTAACATGATGATATAAAGGTTTAAAGTAATATATTTAATGTCAACTCAACAAAATTTGTCACTATTAGATTTACACGGACGGTTCAAAAAAAAAATGTTAAAAATTTAAGTCATAAGATCCTGGCACTTTTATAATTTTAATGTTATAAATCAACAATACTTTAGGGTTATTTACGTCTTTCACAATCACACAGATTAAGTATGACGATCTCTTATCATTAAAAGATATTTTTATATGAATAAATTTGTCTTTTTTTTTTTTTAATTTAATAAAACTGTAGCTCTCTAAACCGTAATGGCCTTAATTCTATATATAAAAGACCATGCTAATGATATTATGATGATTCATAATATGATGCCATTATATTGTCTCCAAGGTTTTTCATATCTTTGGGTTTTGTGATTTTTTTTTTCTTGTTCTATAACTTAAATCTATTATGGTCATTTATCTATTTTAAAATATAAGATTTGGGAGCTTGTTTATAAAATTAAGTTTTCAAGAAACTCAAAATCATAGTTATTAGTATCCTACGATATGCGATACATATCTTACGTTATAATTTGATACAGGTCGTCAATGATACATCTCAGAGAGTGTATCATAAACATTTTTAATATATTGATATGTATCATACGATACAATACATATCAGTTTGTATTTTTAGAAATATTGATATAAATCGATATGATTTTATTAATTTGTGCCAAAGGTCTAAAAAAAATTTCAGGTCGGGCTGAAATAAATCCCATTGGATCCAGGTCACCTAATTTGGTTCACTAAAACTCACCCAAATTTATCTATTTTGCATGAAGAAAGTGAAGAGTAAGATGTGTTACTCATTTTGCATAATAATAATAATACAAGTAAAGATATAAATATTAATATTGATCTTGGAAATGATATGAATAATTGAGAAGAAATAATATAGATTCCTAATTTTTTATTAATTTTAATTATGTAATATCATAATATAAAACTAATAATATCACAAAATTTGTTAATTAATCTTTGGGATATATTAATTTTAAAAAAAAAATTATTATTTTATTATTATTTTTTAAAAAAAGGCGTATCTTATGATATAATACATGATACACGATTCGAAAAATCAGATTTTCGATACACGATATAATACGTGATTTGACAATTATGCTCTAAATAATACCAACTATAATCTTTTAGTGTCCGACATGTATTATTCAGAATTTACTATAAAATAGATAATTCCTCTATTTTTTCTTTTTCTTTTTTTCTCTTAATTTCATAATGTTTGATAAACATGGAAATGGGAAAAGTGGATGATTATTTATCAGTACACATAAATCTAAAAAATTCCCAGAGTACAACATAACAATCAACAAAAATTCGGTTTCAAGTCTACTAGCAGTTATTAGAAAATTGTAATGGGAAACAATTCCAAAGTATTCAATAAGACTATTTTTAAAATTATAAAACCATTACAAAGATGGACATTGAAAAAAAAAAGTCACTAATTTGTCAAGACCTCCTCTTGCTGGGAATGCCAAGCAAAAACATCTTTGTATGCTAGGTTCCCACCAAATATATCTAAAGCACTGCCAACAGTAACATCCACCCGTCCCATACCCGCCGTTTTTATCTTCTCTAAATCACCCATTGTCGTCACACCACCTGCATAAGTCACAGGAATCTACCATCCAAAACCCACATACATAACCAAATTATAATCATATAAGAATGCATCGCAAGAGCATAGTTAAACAAGATTAAGGGTCTTATGGAGATGGTAAAATCAGTAAATGTAGATCAATATGGAGATGGAAAAAAATTCAGTGTTCAGGAGATTAACTAGATGAAGCTACCCAAAGCATTTAGAAAATATCGGTGCAGAAATGCAAATATAACAAGATATTTTGTGCGACAAATAAGAAACATGAACATAAACACAGCTTTGAAATTACACTACTCACCGGTGAGTGCCTGCCAAGCAATGCTACAAGCTCTTCATCGATACCAAGCCTACAATAAATGAAAACTGGAACTGAGAATTTCCTAATCAATTATTTTCTGATATGAGATGACTGTATCCTTATCAGTTACAGTATAAAACCTTATTTGTACTTTGGTTTTCCAATAAACAACTAGCTTAAATTATGGGTTGGCAAAGCCAAACAACAGTAATTTAATTGATTGGCAGCAATCCAAATGAAAAAACAAAATGGCACTTACTTTTTCCCTTCAACATCAACACCATGGACCAGAAATTCATCTGCATAACCGGCAAGAAAATCTAACACTTTTTCATCAAGATATACATCACTGAATTTCTGCCATCTATCAGTGACAACTGCATATTTACCATCCTGCAAGTCAAAAACCAAAACATATGATGCTAAGGAAATAGAGAGTTGAAGCTAATACTTTCCTAAGTTAGTTCAGACAAGAAACAGTAGAAGTCCCTTAACAGAACTAACCTATATGTTCAACTCTTATGTTACTATCTCTTCCAAACATCCACTATTTTTTATACCATGTTTTGCAAAGGAGAACCCACCCCAAAGCATTAAAATGGTTAAGTGACCACCAAAATTCCATTAGTATACCAGAACGTCAATAGTCCAGCAATTGAATATGTCATATTCATGCCTAATTCGTTAATATTCAACCTATGAAAATGGGAGAGTCATATATTGTTGATTCGATACCTTCTTTCTGCAACTAAGGTCCAACACAAGTCTCTGCTTCCCAACGTCACAGACAAGATCTTTAAGCCTTTCAAGGTCCATTTGACCATTGCTAAATACATACTGTAATACATCAAAGAAGAATGTAAATTAATAAGTAATCTATGGAAATATATAACATAGAGAAATCCTCTTCACAGAAGAAACAGAAAACAGTAATATTAACAATGACAAAGTAAGATTAATGCAGAAAGATATATGAAGTAAAACATATTAATCTTCCCAGGATATTTCTTAACACCGATATCAAAGTGTTATTGCAAATACATCAAACTTGAGCTCATGTGCCAAAGTTTATAAATTAAAAAGAAAGAAAGCAGAAAAAGGTAAAGGTCTTGGATTTTAATTGCACTTCTAATTTGACATAGATTTGAGATTTGCAAGTTCATGTAAACAAGAGAGATGAAGCAGGATGAGGCATATCAAACTATCAAATTTAAAATTGCCTAAGAAAATAGAAAATAGCGACATACTGAAGTGACAATGACATGGCTGGCTCCTTCCTCAATGTAACTCAAAGAATTGTCCGAATTGATCCCCCCTCCAACTTGCAAACCGCCTAGAATATTCCAGTCCTCGCAGTAAGTTCAGCAGAGGAAAAATCTGTAAGTTTTAAACATATTATCAAACAGAAATAGTTTACTCTCAAGACAACTCAGCACTTAGAAATCTTCATTTGAGCCACAAAAAGAGGTTTCCTTATTTTTTGGTTCTTTTTTCACGGAAACAAGCAGGGAATTTATATTTTTCATTGCTCGATGATTGGATCGAATATATAACATCTGTGATAAATTTTCCTGGCAAAAGAGATTCAGGCCCTAATCAGACCACACAATTAAGTTCAGCAATATGTGCATTCCCATCGTCACTCCCATAAATACCATAACCTAAAATCAGTTTGATATAAGAAAAAAAATTATAAAAAATGAACTTTTAAGAAACTGTATTTTCCTTAATGATAAAACCACCACAAAAAATCACAAAAGACTAATGGGTACCAGGATAGGCATGAAGCGCTTGGATGGCTGCAGCTTTACTTAAAGGGTCAGCTCCAAGCATTATAAGATGGCCACCTGTAAGCCCATCTTCCTTGTACAAATTCGCAAACTCTGCAGCGGATTTATCGGATTCAAAATTCGTTACAAGCTTTGTCCCATCATCCTTCGAATCACTAAGAGTTGACCCAACAATTTGTTTCACCTTCCCCTGATGAAATTACTCAAAAACTGTAAGCCTATAAAATAAATTAGTTAAAAATTTAGTAAAATTGGAAAGTACCTTGTGTATGTCGATGCAAGGACGGAAGCGAACCGCGCATCGGACGGTGAGACGCGAAGCAATCTGGAGGGTACTTGAGAATGGGGTGATGACTTTGAGCTTGAATCTTTTGTGGAGGAATATTGGGTTTGGAGAAAGCGAAACTAAACCTCGTAGTGAGGCCATTTCGAAGGAAGACTGGTTTCAGAACAATGGAAATTGAAATGAAAAGGATTTTTTTTTTTTTTTTTTTTTTGTGGCTGTGATTGACAATGGCGGCTGACAAAATTTCACGACCAAGACAGCAGCGACCTTTGAACTTGAAGACGAGAGAAAATTACTTAAAAGGACTTTTATTGGGGGCCCAAATAAATCTCACCTTTTATTAGAGTTTCGTTCGCCTGAAATTCTAGCTCTGTTACGATAGAATTTGCAAAATTTGATGGAAGTACTATTTTACCCTATTTGTTGTGGTTAAGTAAGAAAAACTTTAAAAAGATGAAAATTACCAAAAAATATTGTTATGCCTAAAAAGTCAAAGCTGACGTAAGCTTACATTAACAAGCACAAATCAAAGTTCAGGAAGACTTTGCGTTGTCCAGGAGTTGTCACGTCGCCTCAAGACATAAAGAATACGGTTGTCATCAATCCAACAGATTCAAGTTTTATCTATAAGTGAATAAGGACAACACACCAGTCTAAGCCCCAGATAATTTGAGAATATTTCCTAAGTTATTAGTCGATAGGGGTAAGGAAGGACTTGCTCGGCACCTACCCATTTGTAGATTTGTAATCATTACCTTGAATTCAACTACTATAAATAAAGGACTCTCCCTCTCATTTTTGAGATTCTAATCTCTATTTTCATAGCAAAGACAACCTACGAGAAGGAAATTGACTTGATATTCTCTCTGAATACTCAGCTATTGTAGCTCTGTTCGTTGTTCGCTATATGAGACTTATTGTAAACTCTCATATATAAAAGAAACAGTGGACGTAGGAATCACTTTAAACATTCGAACCACTATAAAAATCCTCTATCTTATTTGTAATTCTGTCTTTGCATTCAATATTATTGTTTAACCTTATTCTAACTCTTGAATAAATCATATCACGTGTAATTTCTAAGAACAGCTTAGCACTTTGCACATGCGAGTCGTTGGTGTCAAAATCAAGCATTAATAGTTTGGCGTTGGAAAGAGGGTTAGATTTTATATCCGCTCTTCATCCAATTATTCCTGATCAACCAATTCTATTTACGAACTTATGGCTCGTGGTCTTGAAACTGAGCGTACTAGCACCAATAATGAGGAGATTCCCCGAGTACTAAATGTTACTTCTCCCGAAGTACCTCCAATTGCCCAAGGTACCGCGGCGAGCATCCCCTCAACCTCTTAGCTCGATCCGGCTGTAATAGATTACTTAGAAAGGTTCAACAATACTCTCCAAACGGTTAAATGAAGGTTAGATCATTTGGATTAGGTGGTATCGCCCAATTCTGAAAAGGCGGTGCCACCTCCAAAAACACTTGTAGGTTACATTAAAGCATGGAAACGGGCAAAAGCTCATACCACGTGCACTACAGCGTGTAAAAATAAGGGAAAGCAAGAGGCTGACTGTCACACCCAGCCTTCTACCGGCTTGCCCCGTGGACCTAGGCCCAGACCCGAGTGTGAATTCTACTCAGTATTGTCCCCCCCTTAAGGGATTTCTTTCACCTCCCCCATGGCTCGAACCCATGGTCATGGGTTCGAGCCATGGGGGAGGCGAAAGAAATCCCTTAAGGGGGATAGTACTGAGTAGAAGTCACGCAGAGTGGGCCAAGGCCCGACCGTGCCTCCGGTAAGATAGGGCTGTGACACTGACAATGTACCAAAAGGCTCGAAGGGGCCAATGAATACCGATCATGAAGCAGGTAGAATACATGTACCTTTGCGACTTGACGGTATGTCACATCGTGAGCCATCTCATGCCACATCGCAAGGGCACCCCTACAAGAGTGCTCGACATGGAGATTCCCATTATCGTTGAGATGATGGTTCCAACTATCACCGCGAGGGAAATGTTAGAGTAGGTGTCCTAGAGCCAATCAATTATTGTAAAATTGACTATTTGTAATAATGTTCATTGATCAATAAAAGGCATTTTTATTCTATATCGAGTAAATCATATTTATATGTATTGATATATGTCCTTAGAATGGTAGAACCGTGACGTTTCAAATCTTGATAGTGAGAACCCTAGTACATATGGTGACCATTCTAGAAACGTTCGTAGCCCTAGTATTATTCTGACTAAGAGCACAGATAATATAGTAAGCTATCATAGTGTTGAACAACCCTGTCGAAAGGCAGTGACTGATCTCACTTGTCAAGGTTGTTTGCTGACAAACTAGTGCAACACATGGGTGCTTATTATAGGCTGGACTGACCCACCAAAGGATTTCATATAGATGGTAACCCCAGTGTCTATGGAATAAATCCTTTAACGAATGGTGGTGCATGTGATCCTTAGACCACTGTTTTAAAAATCGGACCGGACCGATTGGTCCAACCTGTTGGACCAGGAACCGGTTGCGTATCCGGTTCAAGTCAACACTAAACCCGCTATTATATAATAACCCGCTTTAACCCATTAAAAAACTAGATAAAATCAGTGAACTGCTGGTCCAACCGGACCGGCGGATAAACCGGTCGAAATTTTAAAAAATCCCTAACCCTACGCAATCGCAACCCATTCCATTCTGACTTCCTTTCTCTGTTTCTCAACTTCTACTTTACGAAAATTTCTTAGATTTCTCAGCTTCTTCTCTACGAAAATTTCTCTCTAAAATCCCACTCAAATCGCAATCAACTCCACTCCCTAAAGTTTGAAATCGCAACCATTCACCAAATCGCAACTGAACTCTCTGAAATCGACGACGACGTCTTCCTCCATCACCGGAAATCAACGACGTCTTCCTCCCTCGCCGAAAATTGACAACGACAGCTCCATTCGTTGACGACAGCTTCATTCCTCGATCCAGGTAATAAACACTCCATTCCTCGATCTAACTTCAATAATGATTTCGTTGCAAACTTTATCTGGAGCAATGTTTTTTGTGGATTCATTGTTTTTATTTTGCATAATCTGTGATATTTTTTATACTTTAAAGCTTTCTTAAAAAAAAAAAACAAATCTCTTATAAGAAATCAGTTATCTTACATTAGTGTAAAATTATTAGCCTATCTTAGCCTTTAAATCCAAGTAAGAAAAACCTTGATCCAAGGGCGTCTATCACACAGTTAACATTACCCTCCACTATTGTACCCCATATGAACATCTTCTATTCACATCCAATTTTGATTTAACTTTTGATTCCTTTAATGGGTAAAAATACAACAGTTTAGCTTCAGTTTTCTTCAACAGGCAACAGGGCAAGTTTTGACTTAATTGCCAAGAAGGTACTTCAAAATTAGGATTGAGATTGGGTGAAACTCGTAGACTTGGTTGTGTGAAATTCTCTTCTTCATTGTTCTTCTTTTATATTGTCAATTGTTTGTAATGTTGGGTTGAAGACATAATTGTTTCAAGCTTGGGATCCTTGGTTAGCTTCTGTGCACCAAGTGTTCGATAAATTGCCTCAGTTAGATTTTTGTTACATTTTGAAGCAAGGAACACACACAGCTATCGATTTCCATGGATATTCAAAGATGTTGATTGTGATATTTTCTTTATTCCTACTATTTTATTTATTTTTATCTCTGCTCTCCTCCACTATGACTTGGGAAAAAAGCTTTTTGTACAAATCTTCCTTTATATGGGATATATCTTTCTACAGGTTGTTGTTAAGAAGCAAAAATTGAAAAATACCGCATACTACATTGTGGATGTAATCTGTAAACCTGCTGACTTGATCACAACTATTCATTCTAGTAGGTCTAATTGGTTTCATTCCTGAGATACTTTTCTCAATCATATGATGTACAATTTTGATTTTAACTCATTTTTCGTTAGAGTTGTGATTCTAGAAGTCAAATTATACTCCCTTGCTAATTCCCTTTTTTTTTTTTTTTGTATTTCTGCATTCTCATTTATGCTAGGAAACTGATAATGGATAGAAGCCGGAGGATAAAGCTCCAAACCACCAACCTTTCACAGCTTCACAACTGTGAACAAACGCTTCAAAAATGGCGCAGTTTGTCGGGAACAGATGAGAATTAGTCCAACAGAGCTCGGAAGAAGCTTAAAGTCTTCTCTAAGGCGTAAGTCATCTTCGAGTCAAAGAGGCACTAGAAAGGATGATGATGAGGCACTCGTTTCTGATGTTGAAATTGCTCAGCAATGGGGTGCCATAGAGAGACTGTCGACTTTTGACCGGTTCAAGGCTCCTCTATTTGATAAGGAGGGAGAAGGGAAGGTTGTGGATAGTGAGGGGACGAGGGTGGTTGATGTCACAAAGCTTGGTCTGGTTGAGAGGCGTTTCACCCAATCTCAATCCTAATTTTGAAGTACCTTCTTGGCAATTAAGTCAAAACTTGCCCTGTCACCTGTTGAAGAAAACTGAAGCTAAACTGTTGTATTTTTACCCATTAAAGGAATCAAAAGTTAAATCAAAATTGGATGTGAATAGAAGATGTTCATATGGGGTACAATAGTATTGTCATATTAAAAAAATGGAAATCCTTTAAAATAATAATAATAATTAAAATAAAAAAGGTTTTTTATGTGCTAAAGTCATCATGTTGATGTGATGACGTCACCGGTCCAATCGGCTGTCCAATCGGTTGGACCAGTTAACCCATGAACCGGATAGCAGAGTTGGTTGCCCTCTGGTCTGGGTTTTAAAACAAAGCCTTAGACTTGAGATCACGAAGTGCCTTGTGCACCGATTGGTGTAGTTTGACACTAACCTAACGCAATTCTATTCAGAGCTGTCAATACGGTAGTGATTGGCTGCAGCAAGGAGTGTATCAAAACTATGGTGGATCGGCAGAGGATTCATCACTCCTGGGTATGGGAGAAGTTATCTTACAACGCAATTCAGTAAATGGCAATAACACTAAAACTGTGGCCACAGTGGGATTGAGTTATTGCTCAATCTAAGTTATTATTCCGGTCATTGGTCCAATAACTGAATACATACATATCGAGAGTAACAAAGGTTGACACTATTTTTGTACCTCCGTCTTACTGAGATAACAGATGATGAAAGGATTTGATTGCACAGTAACCATGTCGTTGACAGGTAGCTGCTTCGCTGAATCCGAATCTATCGGGTGGCCATGATGCCTTGTTAGGGGCCAATCTTGGTCTATGTATAGTGAGACGATTAATTGGTGTTAATCGCAATACTACACACTGC